TAAATAATAATAATAAATAATAATAAATAATAATAAATGATAATAATAATAATAAATAATAATTAATAATAATAATAATAATTAATAATAATAATAATCATTAGCACTGTTGGATGTATATGCGACTGAAATATTATTATCATTATTTTTATCAGTTTGTTTGTTACTGTGAGTATAGCAAGTACGCTAGCACGCAACTCTCAGATTGCTGGGCAAATAGCGATGTCAGAATCCAGAAGCATTGCTTTTTTTGCGAAATGCAGAAAAATTTTTGGATGTGACGAGTCGGAGACACAAGAAAACGATGAAAGAATTGGTGTCTGTAATAGCAGAGACATATACGTTTGTGAAGATTCTCATGTTCCTAATCATTATTTGGCCCGTTACCGGAGTAGTGACGAAGAACATGATTTTAACGAAAAAGCACAGATTTTGAAATAAAGATACATCTTTTCTGTGAAGATAGATTTTTTTGATTCTTTTTTATATGAAATTCATATATGAAATTTCATATTTCATAACTCAAAAATTCACAAATATAATCCAGTTTATTTGAATTTCCATGTGAATTTCTAATTCCATTAGAGTGACGCAATTTCCTTGCAACAGATTGATCTGTAGGCAATAACTGATGTATGAAACAGTAAAACGACACAATCATCGATATTCAATGATGGATAGTGAATAAGTGAAATATTTATTATGAAATAAATATCGAAAATGCTACAGCTATTATGCTAAATTCCCTTAAAGCTGTTATTTTGATCATTCGGATTACTATTGCCATTGTTTTATATGACTGATCACAATGAATTGATCATTGAATTATCACAAATCGGCCATGAAACAGCAATGCTAGCACATCTAGTTAATAAAATTAATTATTATTCATTAATTCCAAACACCGTTTTCAGTCATCATGTATTATAAATTCGCCGTTTATTGTCAGTACGGTCTGCATTTCAGGGTGTTGTGCTGTTTTGTCTTTCACTGCTTGTCACCAATCTCTATAATTCTCAAAGTAAGTATATTCACCGAAAATTTCCACATCACGTTGCCTATTAGCTTCTGTATGGACATCTACTGAATTACTCAAATTCTCGAAACTCATCACAAGTAACTACCAATTTAATCATTCCTCCTACCTTTCTGAATAATCTCAATAATTACCCGGTAATTCTTATTACTCTTAACTCTGTTATTCTCTTGATTCGATTATCTATTCATCACCGTAAACATTCATCAAAGTTCGAAGATTAATACAACACCTCATGAATTCTTCAAACAGGAGCGCATTTATTCTCTACGCTGCGTTCAAAATAGTCGCTCAAATGTTATTTGTAAATGGTTAGTTTGACAGTAGCATTAAGAAACAATTATGAGCGATAGCAAAAATTATAACGGTGACAATAATGATAATAATGATAATAATAATGATAATAAATAATAATAATAATAAAACTAATGAACGATAACAACCGGCGTTGTTCAGTTTATGATGTACTTGCTAACGAGAGGACGTGTCCACAGATGACAGTTCCCAACACAAAAATCACATATTTGCAGGTATCGTTGTCAATTTCAGAGTCGTTTCAGTTCAAAATTATTACTCAGCTGAACGTGTATGATGGACTATTGCAGGCGTCCATCCAAGTCCCATTCCAGTCAGGAACGCTTGCGTTTTTGCAATGTCCATTCGGCGAAGTTTCAAATGGCCCCACTTCTTCGCTGTGTCAGGATGGTTTCTGGAACCAGCAGTTATCACCATGCAAAAGCATACAATCCGGTAAAGCATGCGTTCCATTGCCAAAAATTCATGACGGCCAGGTAATAATCAACTCGTATTGAATCAACTGATTTTAGTATTCTTTTCTTTTCTTCAATCTTGACTTCACAATTATGCAATTTAAGATGCATAAACGCATGCTTTGCGTTTGATGTTTTTCCAGATACTTTATTTTCAAAGTTCATTGTTTATGCAAAATGCAATGGGTACAACGGCAACGTTGATTTGCGATATTGGTTACACTGCATCGGGAAGTTCAACTACGCAATGTGAAAGCAGCGGTACTTGGAAACCACAGTTGGGCGTTTGTAAAAATTTAGCACTAATCACATGTCCTGATATTTCTGTTATCAACGGTAAATAATGTGATTTTTTAAAATCTCTCTAATCTGTTCATTGAGATTTGACTGTTTCTTTTCCTCGAAGGTTTCAAATGAATTCGAAAAACATAGACATCGGAAGCGGGAATCACTGTGTCTTTCTATGGCTCTTCAAGTATTATAATCAATTTTTAGCGATTACCAACATAAAATAATCAATTCAGGTACAATTTCATATGGCTCATTAACAACAAGCAAAGTTGGTAGCATAGCAACATTAAAGTGTAATTTTGATGCTGTGCCCACCGGGCATTCGATTGTTACATGCATGCCAAATGGTTTGTGGTCCGCGCCGATGGGTAAATGTATACCCATTTGGTCGGGAAATAATCCAAACGAAGCGTTTCTACAAAAATGTCCTCCAATCAAAAGTGTTCAAAATGGCTCAATATCTTATGACGCTTTTCGTCCACGTTCCAAAGGTATCTTCTTTCACTCTAAATTAAAGCAAGCATCTAATTTTCTGAATCAATGTTTTCTTCCCGTGTCAACAGAACACTGTTGTTGTATATTTGCTGCTTTTTTAGGCTAGTTTATTCGAGTCAGTTTGTATTTTCACGACTGAATTGATCTGAAAGTTTTCAAATATTTCAGGTACAATAGCGATACTGTTTTGTGACATTGGATTTACACCAGTTGCCAATGCGATTATTTTATGTCAAGCAGATGGACAGTGGAGTGATGCGTTTGGAAGATGTGATTCACTGCTTTCAGCTATGAATCGATGTCCTTTACTTGCTGTGCTCAACGGACAAATAACATATGATCCTTCAGTGGTAATTAATGTTCATTTCATTGCATCATTATTTGCGTTACCATTGTTATTTGAAGGTTACTTGCTTCAAAACAGTGTTTTGATTGCTGCCATACACTTTCAGCATTAACATTTCATTTCTTTCAGCCCAGGCATGTCGGTACAATCGCATACTTGGTTTGTAATCCAGGCTTTTTTGTACGCATTGGACCAACCACTTTGATGTGTCAACCGGACCGTGCATGGAATGGTACCATTAGATGTATTTCAATTAATTTATGGAGAATAAAAGTGTTGAGATATCGATTTGATTTGAGCAGAAAAAGAGCAGTGATTGCGAAAGGCTATTCTAGAGGACACAATTTTATATCAGTTAATAATGTTGTTGACTGTCTGTAGTGACGTTAAAAATGTTCTCATTTACAGGTAATTTAGGTAATTGCGAGCGCTTGATAGAGCAAGCAAATGAGCAAATAAATAAATCAAATAACGAGACTTACGTTCTTCATCAAACTGCGAACTCTACTGATGAATACGGATTCAGTAATAGTATGTAACTGCAAATTTATGTTATTTTTGTACAACATAACGAAAATTTAGGAGATCATTGTCGATAGACTCTCTAAATCGTACGTTTACATTTTTTCGTTTATTTAATCTTCAAAATCAGAATTGATCTGTCAGAATTAACGAACCTTTTTCAAGGAGTTCCTTTTTAATTTGTTATAAGTTTTCTGATTGCATCATTAGTTGAAGAGAAAGAATTATAAACAGTGATAAATAGTGAATGTAGCTGTAAAAACAAATTCACCTGGTAGAATAGCGAATTGTTTATACTGTTAGAACGGTTCTTCAATGCATGTCATTATTTACCATACATCAGTGAAACTGATTCCGTTTCATAGTGGAAAATTACTTGCTGTCATGATAATCAAGCCCTTTCAGATCACCAACAGACCATCGATTAACTTATTAGGCAACCACGATTTCCTGCATGAGAAATGCCTTGATTTTATTTTTTATTTTTTAGCTTTCAGAAAAATTTCCATGATAAGCTTTTTGCCTAGTCGTTGTAAATATTTCATTGTGTACTATGCCAACAGAACTTACTGTTTTTTGCACAAAGATGCAATAGCACATGTATTTCTAGAGAGTTTAATGACTGGGTAACGTACAAAAAATCATTTTTACGTCACGTCAATTATCTGGGACATGAAAGTCTTAATTAATTAAAGTTAGGGCGCAATGCATGAATTGTTCTTCGCCTTTTGGAAACGATTCCATTAACTTCTATTTTCGAGCTACGCGATATAACTGTTAACAAACGTGTATAAATAAATGAATAATCAAACGAATAAATAGTTTTTTAATCGACTCCAAAAGAATATCCAACAGCTTGATCGTATTTATAAATAAGTTTCATTAAGCCCTCATGAAATTTCAATGTGTAATAATACCAACGAATGATACGACAATGTTAGATTGAATAAGTGAAATTTATTCATAGAATCAATCTCTTTTTGTAACCTCTTATTTTTGGTGTGCTTGCAAGAGACTGGTACAATTGTTCATTTATTTATATCCATTTATTATTGTTGGATTATTACTGTTGTTTATTTTATTGCTCCTTTTACCATTTTTCATATCACATGTGTTATTATCATCGCCATTATTACTATCATTTCGATAGCATCATCATTGTCATTACCATTGTTATTACAATCTATTAATAAAATTACTATTTGTATTATGCATATGCCTTTCACATTCATTCGTATCAGCCGTTTTTAGCATTATTAGCTTTGTTATCGTTTTCAATAAATTTTCAGACCATAAATATCTGATGTTTTTGGTCAATTCATGATTGTTGGCATTTTTTCATGTTGCGTTATTCTTTTTTTGTTCATTTTGAAGGTGGTCATTATAAGTATAAGACATAATATTTGATGATACTTCATGGCGGCACAGAGGGGCTTAGGATCAGCATAAGTCTACTTTGAAGCAATAAGCTTAGCGATGGACTAGTTACTTCTAGGATGGACAACCTTTTATGGTTGTAAGGACGTAAGAGTAGAGGTGTAGCCGTGAACCAATATTATAGTCAGGCCGCTGAGTTTAAGTTTTGTGATGAAAATTTCTGCACATTTTTTGCATCTTTGGTTGCCCAAGGCCTATGTAGAGGCACCCACGACTGCTAGGATGTTCTTAGCTGGTCTTTTATTGAAATTTGGAACGGCTGGTTTGTTGCGTATTCTGGGTTGTTTTAAATTTAACTGATATAAGTGTATGATCGACGAGTAATTACGAGTTAGTTAGTGATGAATAGATGATGAAAGGATTTATCGACAGACGCAATGCAAAAGCATACTCTTAAGTGGTGGCGGTCATCTCAGCAAATCGCAACATTTTTGTAGAAACATTACTACTGTAAGATGTGAATTTTCCGAAAATATACCATTTTTTAGTCAGCTGTGGATGTACCAGTAAGTGATGCTCAGATTCGGATAATAGGGTCAATGAGATTGATTGATTGATCTTCTTGAGTAAGTCGTGAGTCACTTCCTGATTACATCGACAAGTTCATGGAATAACTACCAGAGGAAACACGTCGAATCCATGTCGTTCTGATGAATGACGTCGATGAATGAGCGCATTAAAAATATTCGACGATTTATCGTCATTATCAAATATTATTGTGATATGCACAATGACTCAACGGATGATTCATCATAATCGCTAAAATTCATAACATATTGTTACAATGAATTAGTTGATCAGTTGACTCAGTTTATCCAGAAGCCGGTTTGGATATCTGACGTAAATGAGCAGTTTGGTGTTGTTTTGCGGTCGGATTTTCTCATTCAAATAAATCATTCACCTTAATGACATACAACTACAAACGAATGGTGCTGTTTATCATTCGTAGTAATCTAAAAGTAGTAATAATGAATATTGCTATTTACATTTTTGTAATTATTATTGTCGTTATTAGCATTAACATAGATATCGTTCGTATAATTATTATCAACGTTGGTTTTGAAAATATCATCGTCATTAGGCTGCGTTTTTGCTGAGTATTGGTTGATTTACATTGTTTGTTATAAAAGTTGCATTCAGTAGTAACATTGGCCTAAACGCTCCGTATTAGGTTAATGTTCTAATTTTATGCTGGTTCTTTTTGGTCGAGTGAATTTGATATTGTGACAAATAATAAATGATTGTCTTTTGTTTTGACTGCTGCATCGCGACGAAAAATGCAAAACTAGAAAATCCTTTGAATATCTCGATCCGGCATAGATTGCGAAAAATGTCCTAGCTAATCTCGGACGATATGTGAGTTGCATTTGGTTCTAAGTCTGAGAATTAGTTCAAATACTTCTATCTGTACTCTTGTAACCATTCTTCACATTTATGTGATAAAATCACTTATTCACTGAGTTGAAACATCTAATATGCCACTGCTATTAACCTATCTATTGTGTATATGACTCGTCTCTGTCCAGCAGCAGTAAGTTAACAAGGATCCATAATTAAGGCCACCCAAGCGGCTGGCTAGTGATCCTTCTGCCTTCCATCAGCCAGCCGAATCACCACCACATTAATGTTAATGATGACGATAATCAGTTGACTGGTAGGTTTTTTGGTGGTACCGATCAAGCTTAGATCTGAGATGAAGTTCTATCAGATACAGACTGATTAATGACATATCACACATTTATTTTGGTAGGAACATGCTGGATGAAAATTATAGATGCAAAAAACTATGAACTCACTTATGCCTACAATGCTGCTCAGTATCTGTTTACAATGCTGTTCAGTTCCACGAAGAAGTTAGACAGAATTGTGCATTCTCATTAATTAGATTCTCGTTGATTGTGAGATGAAATTTGTGACAATACGAATTTTGATAAAACATGAAAAGTGTGACAAAGATCGCTGGAATATTTTGAAATTAGATCCATTTTTAATGAGGCGCACAGATTGATGTTGAATGGGTAGATTGGGAAAGAATAATGTTGAATAGTTTTAATGCATTGCTGTCATCATAATTTCTGTTTGGAATTGCTCATTTGTTGGACATATTAAAGGTATTTCAATTAATTGTGCAGTCGAGTTTACTAAAATGATGAAAGTGGTAAGCAGATATTTTCAAACATAATATGCTGTTTTTTAGCACTCAGAAGGTTTCGAACGATAGTTCACACATTCATGCAAAGGATGTATTTAGAGAAAATGAATGAATGAATGAAACGGATATGACCATCTTCGTAAGCATTATTCATTTTAACCACGATACTCCTAATACTAGCAATAATGATGACCATTCTAATGGCACTAGCAGTAATAAGAGCAGTTAATTAGTTTTGCCTGTTACTTAACTACCTATGCACTGCTTCCAGTCATGATTTATAATTTTCCCTTCTGTCAATCCTTATTCGATTGCGATCGCAAATCCAGCCAAAATTGGTC